GCTCAAACATTTTAAATACAACAAAGTGAGAAGAAACTGGTCAGAAAAGCTCATGTGAAACAGTTTGGGTAGTCATCATACATATTTCAACAGCTCATAGTCCCATATGATCAAAAATAAAAAAAAACAGCAGCTTTATTGTGAATGTTTTAATACATAAAAAAAAATTTGTAACAAGTGGCTAAGCTGCAATTAAGGCTGTAAAAAAACCTGGCAAAAGTTTAAGTAAGTATTTATTCACCAGCTTCAGTTTAAATTGACTGGCATGAGCCTGGGCAGTAAGAGCTTCTAGTAGTTGGTCTAACAACAAAAAGTTGGAGGTTGCCTGTTCCTCCTGGAGGCTTCCTTTGGAGATTTTTTTTAGCACTGCTCCAGTGCCTGCAAGCTATTTTTTTTTTTACATTAGAGATAGATTCTAGATTCTAAACTTTAAATGAATGTTGTTTTTAAGTTATTAAGGTTACCAATATATGATATGACTAACTCACAGCTTTTAACCAAGTATCAGAATAAGGCGGCCAACCAAAAGACCCAAAGATGTAAAGGTGCTACTTATTATCAACAGAGCAAGTCAACTATGATGGTAGCCAAATGGGACAGTAAACAGTTTGAATTTGTTCCCTTTGATGAAATCAAAAGACACTACAAATAACATTCAACTCTCAACAAAACAAAGGATATGCTAAATATCAAACTTTAGGTTGTTTTTTTTTAGAAACTGTACCAACTAATTTGTGGAGGGAGCAATGTGAAAATTAATTTGCACAAAAATACTTTGCAAATCATTGTATTCTGTTCTTTTTTTATGTTTTACACAATGTCTCAATTTCAATTGGGGATTCATCTCTCCATCTCTCCAAATGTGGCTTCCTGGTCTTTAAGGGAGCACAAAACAAGATACTTTTAGAAGTGGAAGAAAGTCTTAGTCTCCAATTAGAAGAAATTATTTCACCTAGACTGTCTTTATGGCTTCCAGTGTTACAGCCATGACCAGGAGTTCCCACTGGAAATGTTTTTTTTTTTTTTCAGGAAGCTTTTTCTTCCAATGAAACAATAGAGCTTTGAGTTAAATCTATTTACACGTTTCTACCATCTCGCATGTTTTTATGATCTAGGATCCATGTTTGCACAAAATTTTAGTTCCAACAGTGCCATTCGGGAAAACTCACGTCAACTATGCCTACATTGATTTTTGAAGTAATCAACCAGGACAGTGGGACTAATCAGTGCCGAGTCCTTTTTCCCCCCCAATCTTTTAGTTCTGATTTGTTGGGTATGGTACAAACGTGATTGGATGATAAATAGTCGGTTTCAGTCCTAATGCCATTTTCAATCATTTCCCTGCTCTCCTTTCCGTCGCTTCCAGTTTATTTTCAAGCTCAACTCGTCACAATCTGGCTGCAAAAAAAATGTCTGTGCATTTTCCCCCAGTTTAAAGGTTTTGCTGACCAGTGTATTCACATTATAGGATGAAATAACTCTGTTCTTACTTTTGCTCGGGTTGCATCCCTATTTTTTTTTTTACTTTTTGATGATATATTAGGAACACATGTAGTTTAAATATGGTAAGTAGAGAAATGAGTTCAAGTTCTTCGCAACTGTAGTCCGTGTTGACCTGGAAACAAAGTGCTAGAAGGATCGCGTCGGAACGAGAGTGAGTCATGGCCTCTAGTGACATGGTTCAGACATCTAATGAGAACACATCCCTGAGAAACAGTTAACAGCATGTCCAACTGGGTGGAGATCATACTCAGAATACACTTAAGCACAGTCTGAATGTGATTCTGGGACCTCAATGCTGAGGTGGAGAAGAGGTTAGAAAGGAGGAGTGCTTTCCTTAGCTCCTTGTTATTGTGTCCTTGACCCATGAAGAGCAGCGGGGAATGAGTGGATCAGTGAAGACGACTTGAATTTACATGAAGTTAGAGGAGCTGTGAGAGGAAAGTCATTTACATGCAACTGCAAAATAATAGGGGCAAATTTCCATGACCCTCGTGCATTGTTGTATAGATCATTTATCAGCAGCAGTTTCTCTGTTTTTATTGAAAGTTTTGACACTGTATACAATTTTTTCTGGGCATGACAAAATGGGTAGCTGGGATTAACAAAATGCTACAAGAACTGATTTCTTTAAATGCAATACTGCAAATCCATTATTGTGCAGTCAAGAAGGGTCTAAACAAAAACAACCTTATCCTCTCTAATCTTTTCTTGTACGTCTCATTTTTCTTTTGTCCTACTTTTTTTTTCCACTTTTTTTTTTCTGAGAACTATAATAACAGAAGGCAGCCTCCTCTTTCTTTTCAATTCTGCATTGTCCAAGTGTTCAAAGCCAGATTACAATCAGACTTTTGTCATCAGTTAATCATCCTTATGGTGGAGGAAGACATAGAGAGAAAGAGGACGAGAGCAAATAATCTCTGATGGCGGCAACAACACAGCTAACGATTTCCATCTAATTGCTTCTCCTCTGCTTCTAGAGAGTGGCGAGGGTTGAGGAGAAAAGGATAAGAGGGCCACAGACAGTGAGAAAAAGAGAGGGTGCCAATAATGACAAGCCATTCAGCCTCTAACACTCACCTCTGATAATAATGGTTTAGTCAGGGCCATTTGCCCGTATGATCCTCCGCCTCCTCTTCATCTCTATCCTTCCCCTCCTGTCCTTTGCCAATATTTTCCTCTTTATTTCCAATTGACTTTCCCCCCCCCACTTTTAACATGTGCTATATGAACACCACCATAAGGTGTTCCAGATGTTCCTTTCAACTGTGCTATAATAATATTCCTGGGTTTGCACAGCGATTGTGTTTAAGTTATGAAACTTTATCTCCAGCCTGTTATTTTGTGATATGGCAAGATGAGCCTACTGCAAGTTTCATTGGATCAAATGCAAGACTTTTTAGGGCCATCATGATTACAATTTAAGATCTTTGTAATAAAAAAAATAAATAATGCCTACAATTATTTAACAACATCAGAAATAAGTATAACATTTTACAACCAAAATTGAGGTTATTCAGCACTGGAAAATTAACAAGTTCTTCCACTTCTAAGTTACCCGGCTACCACATCCTTCTTACACTCTCTGGTAACGCTCCAGGTCATGATGGGCCAGCACAAACTTATAAATCCATAATTTAATGCCATATTACTTTAAATACATATGATCAAGGAATTGGTAGTGAATCTTGAAATAAAAACTGCTCCTAATTGGAGTTAATTTTAAGACATTTCAGGAAATGGATTTTTAAACAAATAAATTCTGTTCCAAAAGCCTTATTACTCATCAGAGCATTGGTTATTTTAGTACAACAACCAACTTCCCATCAGAACTGCAACATATAGAGCAAAAATTACACTTGGTTATTATCTCTCAAAGGAGTTGAGATTTTAAATCATAAATATAAAAGGGAAATGTTTCTGTAAATTAGTGAGAGTCACCATATTTTGCAACCAGATTACAAGGTTGGACCGTTTGTAAACAGTGCATTATCAAAATCAAAATCTTACACAAACTAAATTTGTGGTTGAAATTTTAAGTTTAGATTTAGGAAACATTTGAACCAAACTATGAACTATGCAAAAGAACAACACAATGATTCAGTGTGTTCACTTAAAGCTAATAACTTCTCCAATGACTATTCAAGAACAAAATATAAACCTAAGGTTAATTTGGTCTACAAAATGTTCTAAACTATATTACAAGAGTGAATACAGAAATCCAACTGTTGCTATTCAACTGTTGTCCAATTTGAAGCAAAAGTCTGTCAGAAGAGAGGGTCTCTCATCTCTAGCGCTGAAAACCTGACAAGACTTCACGCTGCAAGCAACAAGACGTTGGGCTGATTTTCACACTGTATCCTGGCTACCTTTCATTTATTCACCAAAACTAAAAGACGCTTATTTGAAGCTTCATGTTTCTCTGAACTCTGCTGCTTTCAGAGCTCAGCAGGAATTATCTTTGTTTTAATGACTTCAGCAAACTATGTTAATAAAAGTCTAGGACTGCAATTGCTTCTGTATTCATTTCTTTGGCTTGCTATGCTTTCAATCTGTTTTCACAAAAGTAATAATTGAAGTTTGAACTTTTAAAAGCTACATATAATCTTAGTTATTACAAAATGCTTTGAAATGAACATCAACAATATGACAGATTTCCTTGACTTCCTGCTGCATCTTTTTGTTTTACTGCTTACTTAAAGGGACATCTTTAAAGGAACAGTTTCGTTGTTTCAAAACTTGGTTGTGTTTGGGATTCAAAGGATTTGTCAGCTAACTCACAAAAAAGGATCCTTTGATGCAAAATCTTTGATTTCATATAGTACATAATTGACACACTTTCTTTTTCTAAACTGTTACTGTGTTTCAAAAATACACTTATTGTCATTGAACATAATTAAATATGTGAGCAGTGTTTTTTATTTTAAAAGGACAAAGAAGGACGATTAGACAAAAAGGCCAATGTGCAAAAAGATTGAAAGAACTATAAAAAATAGCATCAATGTGCATAATATTCCTGTAAATAACAAATTCACAAACAATCATTTGCAACAGCCTATGGTGAAACACAAACATATTTTGTAGATGTGTCATTATTAGTCTGTTGGTATTTTCATTTATTTGTAAGAAGCAGCAAATACAGTGGATATAAAAAGGTGCACACACTTGTTAAACGTTTATGTTTTTCTGATGAAAGAAAACATGACGCTTAAGCTTACACTTAGTTGAAATTAGTTTTCATATAGTTTTAGTATTCACTTTTCTTTTTATATGCATTACTTATTTTATTTTTAGTTTTCTGAATGGTGTCAGATGTGAGACATCTATGAACGAAACAAATGATTTTCCTGAAATTATTCTATGAGAGATTAGAAAACATAAAAAGTATCTCAGTGTTCATCAGTCAGGAGAAGGATGACTGTAACACCAGTTATTCTGTCAAAGTATTAGACAAAAGTCACATTACACAAAACACATTGAACTGGTATATGTCTACTAACCTGCACCAAGAACCAGGACATGAGAACAGCAATCCAGGGGTTGCCACTGCGGGATGTCTTCTTAGCTAGACACAGCACCTTACCTGTAGAAATAAGTGACATATATAAAAGGTTATAAGAAAGTTCTCAGAGAAAAAAAAACTTTAAATGGTCATAAGAAGCCACATGAACTTTCTGCCAAGATAGAGTATTTTAATATTCATTGTGATAGAAAAACGTCACCATATTGTTTATCCAGCAACAATGAAGCCAAACAGATAAAGTATGTATTAAGTGCACTCCCAAAATTACTCAAATTTCAAAGGGACATTTTCAGTTTTCTGAAAGCCATCAGATGTAAGACATCTATGTTACATGTCTGTAGTGGGGATGTGTAATAATATTAGAGGTTAAACTATATAAAAAGGGGGACAAAACTACCACCAGCTAAATAAACTCACCATAATTCCCAAATGTGTTCATCAGTTTGGGGAAAATTTAATCTTAACTAAAGCAGGGTTAGATTACTAATAAAAGTCCCAAAACATCCAAAAACTAGTTTTTACATGAAGGTGAAATGAGGGGCACTTTGAGAAACTTAAAAGTGTTGTCACTCATTTATCTATTAGATAAGGGCAAGAAACTGTTGCTACAGTTCACCAATCAGAAAAATATTGCCTGTTGAGCTGCGACGTTGAGATGGATTGGCCAGAATTCATTATTAAGAATATTGCATGATATAGGAACATGCAATCCTCTATCCTGTCTTGAATCAATGGTTCAGACTGGTGGTGCCCAACGGTGTGGAACCTTCAACAGTCTCAAAATATTTTTTGTTTGATTTGGTCATATCTTTTACACATACACACCAATCCAAGAGAGCACTAACTGGATGTGTGGATCAGAATCTTTACATGATGGATGTGTAGCCAAAAACCTGTAGTAAACGGGTGATGTAATCATATCAGCATGTAACTCTGGGGAAAGTTTTGGATACCTGACCTGGAGATTGCTATAATGTTTCAGAAGCATTGAGGCACTTCTGAAGGTGAAACAAAGTCAAACACCTGTGTTAGCTAGCTGTACCTAATAATGTGGCCTGGCAATTTTTACAAGATCACCAGTGTACATCAGTATTTAGACTAGGACTGGTAAGCTTTAATAACCCTGACATTTAAACAGATTTCTGTAATTAACTCCACGTCTGGTCTAAAAACAGAGAGCTGGAGTAGGCGGCAGAGACGGTGAGAGAGATAAACTGAGCCGATGAGTCACTTTATTTAATAACTTGCCGCCACTTGATTTGCTGGAAGACAGTGCTCCCACATACTTGTTGTACCTTAGACAACTTTCTTTTACGGCCATCGCATTCTGACTTAAGAGGTGGCTGACTGACCCAGGAGTGACTGACAGAAACACACAGCCCCATATGGAGGTAGATTGAAGAGGCGGGCGATGGAGAGAAATCTGCGTTTCAGAGTAAATTTCACACTTGATAAAGAAGCTGAATTAAATCAGTGAGACTTTTAAGCCAAATCAATGCAGCAGTGGGAACGGGGTGGAGAGAGGCAGGACAGCGCTGAAGGAGTTTGAGATTAGCAAGTTGTAGAGAAGAAAGAGATTGAGATGTGTGGGAAGAAAACTCCAGAGTGTACGTGTTGGGAAACGGACACATCCATCAGTCAGTCTGCATAGGACAGTGGCAAGGTTAAGCACCGAGCTGCGTGCATGAATGACAACAAGAACACACACAAATGAACAACTGGTGTGGTCACAGTCTGCTTTTCCTCCTCAACTTTTATGGCTCCACAGTCGCCAACTTCTAATTAAACTAATTCATTTGATTTATGTTAACCCTTTGGTTGTTTGGGTGTAGGCAAGCCTGAGTCAGCTTCTTTTGATCACTCTACAGACAAACCTGTGCTAATAAATTCCTTTATCTCCCCTAAAGTACACACCAGCGCTTGAGTACATGCAGATGAAACAGGCGAACAAATAAAATATGCTTAAAAATAATAAAAGAAAGGAGAAGGATGGCACTCAAAGTTATTAATAATGAAAAAACAGCAGGCAGGATAGACTCACACAGAGAAGTAATGGAAATCACACATGCTGCATAAACTTGATATGCCAATGACTTTCACAGAGACAGAGTTTGTGTTTAAACTTTTAAATGGCAGTAAATTACACTTCCATCAGAAATACCACATACTTCTCCTCACTGTCCTGAGATATCTGGATCACTTTGTTGGCTGGAGCTTTTGCTTTGAACAGCTCTCTCATCGCCCTTTCAAAAACTCAGGAGCTTCTAATGTTAAAGCTTCAAAATGGCATCAGCGTGATAAAGAGCATTTGCTTCACTGCAAAGCTTTGTCGCTTTACCCACCGAATAAGTCATCCTTCGCCAAGGCATACAGAATGCGAGAGGCTCCGATGAGATTGCTCATTGAGGCAGAGATTGTAGAGGAATAAACTCCAATGATGACAAAGGGCTGCCAGATGTTGATGTCCCTCAGAAAACTGTAATCCCTCTGAAGGAGAACACTGCAAAAGTAAAAAGTAAAGAGATTAACCCATATGATTGTGATATCACTTTGTAATTGAAGCAGATTCTTGTTAGACAAAGCGGAGCAGACATGCTTGTAGGAACAATGAGCAGGATGATAATTATTTAGCATGAGGAGGCAGAACTTTTTAAGAAGTTTAAACACTTTCAGCATTTTTTTTTTTAAATTTGTGAACCTAAAATAAATTTCAAAACATTACAAACATTTAGGTCATTCGCACTAGATAAACACTGAATTAAATACTAATCTATATAAAAAACATTGCAAATAAATTGCATGAAGCAAATAAATTACTTGCTTTCCTGATACAAATACCAGTATGTCTTGACTTTCAGGTTAATCTTCTAGTAAATCAGGACAAAAAAAAAAAAAAAGACAAAAAAAGAAAGAAATCCTTAAATTGGGATTGTAAATCTGATTTTCACAAAACATTTAAACAGCGACTTAACTTTTCATTTCTCTTCAATATTCCCCATTTCCCTCCTCTACAACCACAAATGTACTTTACTGAGGTTTTATACAACATATCAATGCAAAGTATTGTGTTACCCAGACTGCTAAGAGAACAAAACTTAAAATCCTACATAAAAAAGCTTTTTTGTCACATTTACCAGTTACACCTACTCTACATGAATGAGACTAGGTGTCATTTAAAACTCATTTGTTCTGGGGTAAAATGTGCTCGTGTCCACTAGAAACAGAACACGATTGAGGTGATGGTTACTCCGAGGATGTCTAATGAGGAGGTCCAGAAATACAGAGATCACCACAGTGAATATGCATGGGTGTGTGTGTGTGTGTGTGTGTGTGTGTGTGTGTGTGTGTAGGAGATTGTGCTCGATTCATGGAGAAAGAGAGATCAGAAAGAACAAAAAACTCTGAAGGGTGTGTGTGGTTATGGCCTGCTCCCCACCTCCTTTCAATACAACACAGCGAGAGAGATGAGAATTAAAGCACAAGGTTTCTCCCTCCCCTGATCCATCTCAATCTTTCTTTGTGGTTCAATTCTGTCTCACGCACACAAATCCAATCCATCTATTCCCCTCCTGCATCACCTTCATCTCCCTGATTCTGATGTTTGAGAGATCTTTCTAGCTTTTCTGTCTCAGTCCTCCTCATTTTATTTCAACTCTGATCCGTAACCGCTCTCATTTTCTCTTCGTCCCTCCCCTCCTTCCCTCCTAATTAATACTCTCATCACGTTTTCTTTCAGGTCCACTGATTTTAATACTTATTATTATGGCCCTATTAGGTATTGTTCACTCCATCCAAATGTCTGAGAACATTATTATTTCATATGGAGTCCAAAAGGCATTAAGCACACACACTCAGAAGCACACATAGACACTGACATAAAGGATTTCAGGGTGAATTGTATGAACCAGGAACCTGTGGAGAAGCCACATTGCTGCAGCTTTGCGTTGCCACTCTGGATTGTAGGGATGCAGAATATTACCAGCATGTCATCAGTAAATACAGACGTATCTTGGTAAAATGCATTTAAGGTCAATTTTTGATTAGTTGTTGGGACTGACATTTGTTAGTGAATCCGAATCACCCAAGCTTTTGGAATAGGGTGATATCTACAGTTCTGCCTAAAATGCACTCATTCATTTGGTAACACCGTTTCATCACAAGAAGAATGTTCTGGTTTTGAATCACAGCCTAAGGTCTTTCTGCATGGACTTTAGAGCCAAATTTAAGAGTATTGTGCAAATGGCAGTGGCTACTTCCAGTTCGAAGCCAGCTACTGATTTGATTAATGATAGGACGGCACCAGTAATTGAGTGGTCAACTTGTATTAGCGATGGAGAGGCTAGTGACTAGCATGCCTAGTCATTAGTCTCTCTTGTCTATTCCTGCAAATTTAAGACTGTTTAAGTATGGTTCAATGCCACCTTGGATAATATTTAAGACCAAAATAACCATAGATATGGGGGATTGTTGGGTGAATTTGCTGCCACAAAGCTAGTAAGGTTTAGCAGGTAGCTGCTGGTACCCTTAAGCACTTTGAGTCACTGAAACCAATGAAGAAGTTTTTATGCAAATCAAATCTTTTACCTAAGAAAAAAGTTCTGCAAAAAGAAAAAAATACTTTGAATAGTTCTGCAATGATAAAACAGGCATCAGATCAACTTGCATTTTACAAAAAAAAATAAAAAAGAAAAAAAATTAAGACATTTTAAGGCCTTAATTTTAGAACACTTCTCCATTTCAGGGGCTGTCCTGTAGGTTCACAGTGCACTGTGTCAAATAACTATAACTGAAAAATCTGTTCCCCTAGTCGCCTGTGAGGGCGCTGCACCAAGATCTACTGAAGAAATTGACACACAACATCTTAAGAAGACCAGTGCAATTTCCTTCTTCACAAAATGTAAACAAAAAGGAAGCGGTGGTGTCAAATTTTAGCTGTGGTAGGATTTCTTCATTCATATAGATTACTGGTTTGGACATCGCCCGTAAAACAACTTTAAACCATTTATATTCTGTTTTTTCTTGCTTTCTGTGTCGGCATGCAGACCCATTGTTATGACAACCGACCCAACATCTTTATTAGCCCGCGGAGCAGAGAGTGATATGTTAACTAGAATGTCCTGCACTGTTAACTTTGAAACAGTCTCTAGTCTGGTTGCATTCAGACAGGCTTTCTACCATTTTAGAGTTCACTTCAACTGGACCGAGACCTCGGTTCTTAGGGGGATCGAAGTTCGCTTTTAAATCCGGTTTGGAATTCAAATTTGCATTCTGACCTCCCCAAAAAGAGAAATTAGACTGTCTAGACAAACGGATTAGAAGCTGATTCAGGACTCTAATCCTTGGTTGGTCTGAATGCACCCTCAGTTTTCAAGGAAGGTTGACACAATGCATGGCCTAGTGTGAAGTTTTAACCAATATCAAGGTTGTCATAACCAACCTTGATGTTGGTTATGACAACATAACCAACATCCTTAATGGTGTTAAGGTCAGTATTGGTGAGGAACTGCTAGCTTTTAAACTTCAAATATTATCACTGGATTTATATAATTTAAAACTTGTTGGAATTTAAACTTCCAAATGAATGCAGCCTGGACCAACAAATAATAACAAATCTATGACAGCTTAAAGAAACTGGTCACAATTAATATATTTGTCAACAGACAAGAGTCACTAAACTGAATGTGTCTGTAAAACAAAATAGTGCAAACCACTGAAAGATGTTTAACTTTGTGTGTGTGTTTATCAGAGAAGAGGGTCAAAACATGTCACTTGAATATTAATTTCTTTGATGTGGAACAGAAGCTAAATTAATCTGGAAAGCTTGACATTTCCTAAATGGCTCTCCAAAACAAAGAGGCAGCAAACTGGGCGACAGTGATGATAAATGGTATGAGTTTGCATGAGAGCGGAGGGAGGGAGAGCGGGTAAAGTCAATATATTGGGGTAAAGCAGAATGCACAATATGTTTTATGGAGGCAAGTTTTTCCCCTTATACAAGCTGTGTATTCATTACTCTGGGAATATTGTACATGTATGTATGTGACCGTGTGTGGGTGGCAATGAAGTTGTGCTAGTGATCGTAATTATTGATCAGATCATTCAGCTCAAATGAGCTCTGCTGTAGAAATAAAGAGGAGAACAAAAGCACGAGAGATTAAAGGAGCTTGTTTAGAAAAGAGGAGGAAACACAGCTCAGTGACTAAAATGAGCCCACAGAGATTCTTCAGTCGATTGTTCTCTCTCCTGCCATCAAGCTCCAGCCTTCAGCTCATTTGTTTACCATTTTTATTCATGCCATCAATTGTGTATTCATGCGTATTCATATTTTAATCCATCATCCTGTGTGTTTGTGTGTCTGATAATTCACCTGCGCCTTTGTCGAACATTATGGATTAATTATGCGTTATTTCTCAAATGGGATGAAAAATTAAGCGCTGACACCAAGGGCGGGCGGCACGCATGTGCTTAGGTGTAAAAAATAGAAACCAACTGGAAGTCACAAGAACTTCTTGTGTAATTCTAGGAGTGAGAGTAACAATTAAAGATCATCCAGTCTAAGGCTCATATAGAACGCCTATTGAAAACTCGGATGTGATCAATGCTAATTACACAGAGGGCTTTGGCATGTAGCCAACATTGCTGTCATTCTCACAGCACCATAAAGTTATCATTAGTGTTAAAAGAATACATGAAAAACAGAAAAGTCAATATTCATTAAAATGGCCACTTCACGGGAAGCGTCTTCTTTTTCTTTCTGATGCAAGAAGTTCTTAAATGTAAAAATAAGCTTTTAAAAGTAAATACACCCTCCTTTGGTTCAAAAGGACAACTGGATATCACCTGATTCAAAGAAATGCAATCCCTATGCCCTACAAAACAAACAAAAAAAGCACAATAAGCTTTTAGTTTAGACTAAATCATGTACCAGCATCAGTAGCTTTGTCGTTCAACAAAAGAAAAAATGTTTAAGAAAACCAGATATTAGTTTAAATAATCAAACATTGGGTTAAAAATTTCAATTTTGTTACGCAAGAGTACTCAGCAAGAGAGTAGACATGGGGAAAAATCTCTACATAACACACGTGAAAAATGAATCTCCAGACTTTGCCATAGTGCCCCTCACCTCTCAGTGATGTGTTCGATTATACCTCAACTTTGGTAGGCACCTGAGTTTGGACATGGCCTCGAAAAGGCAAGAGTCAGCGGCGTCAGAGAGAAAAAGATTGCAGGAAGTTAGTAATACATTGTATGCACTCTCTCTCCGCTCTTGTTACTCAGCAGGAGAGCTGATGTTGGCACTGCTCAGTAGCAGGTGAGAAACAGGAGAATCTCCCAAATTGTTTTACTATTCTGAACTAACTAAAAATTATAAAAACAAAAAACAGACATGAGAAATTACAATTTCAGTCTGTTACATTTGTCCTGGTACAAAACAAACTTATGTAAAAACTTAACAATTCCTAGTCTAAGTAAATACATTAAATCCTGGATGTTAATTAT